ATTCGATGATCTCGATATGAACCTGCAACGGTATATACTGGTGCAGAAGTGTAACTTACCGACGGCGGTACATTTCTCGCACGAAAATTATCCCGAGTGCTGTTTAACCTGCTTCAAGTAGGCTCTTGCTGGCGCATCAGCGACGACACACTTGAGGTCCACTTTGATGCGTTCACCACAAGCTTGCAGCAGCACGCCTTCCCGCAATTCCTTGATGGTCGGCTGAAGGAACTCATGCACGTCTGCCGGCTTGGTTAAACCGCTGTAAACGCCAATGACAAATATGTCTGCATGTGGCTCCATCAGTATGCCAAATATGGGCCAGACTTACATTCAGGAACTGCGGAACCGTGACATCTCATCGACATGTAACTGCAACTTCAATGTTGATGGAGAGTGCACAGGAGGTGTAAGAAAAATGCGTCGTATTGCTGCTTGCAGTCTAAGATGCACGTACAGTCTACCCTGGATGACTTGTTCAGGACAGTCATGTGGGGTGTGCAAACGGGTGCGCAAGGAAGCCGGCAAATCAGGATGTACGCGCCTGTAATGGCGCAGTAAGATGTTAATCTGCACCGCTGCGAGGTTGGCCTCCAAAGCGCTATCACGGAAAAGTTCTTTGAATGTAACATCCTCTGAAGTTGGTGGAACGCTGGCTACAGAAACCGCTGTTAGGGAAAATATAACAATGAAAATAACTGTTTCTTCCTTCTTTCGTGTCCTTTCATAATCTCCTTACCGATGACGGTTGAGGTAACGATTGTAGTCGGAAGGGACGGTGCAACTTGGGAGATTAAGACACTGATGCTGGGATAGACAGGCTCCTCAACACTGAACACACGCTACAAACTGTTGCTGCATGATGAAGTTGCTAACGAAATATAGTTTAGTCTTTAAACTCACGCGAAGAGCGTACCAATTTCGTGAGCTCCTCATTACTTCTACGTATCATGCGTTGTACAGTGGACCTAGAGCAACCAGTTCGAGATATATGCTGGATATCTGTCTTGACAGGCACTGTGGTAAAGACGAAAATGTCGGGTGATTCGAGTCACGTTTTTTTAGGTGCTAGAAATTGATTTGTTGAAATAAGTTTGGTTGTCGCGGTTTAACCTCTGTGCACTTTATGAAATGTCGAATTAGTGTGCACGCGCACTTTTGCGAATAAATGCGTTATTTTGCTACTGAACTCCTGAACATTTCCCTTGCGCCGGATTATCGGCCAGTTTGAAATGCGCAGACTGTGCTAGCAGGATGTCGGGCGTTTGTATTTGCAGTGCGAAGGGACCGCGAAGCCTGGTGGTCTCATCGTGTATCCGGGATGGAAAGAGCCACTGCCGTCTGATGCGAGATACAAACAGTTGGAAACATGATGTTAGCGAGACAATACGCGACTATTGTGGACAGCCGATCCACAGCCTATCAAAACGCTTGTAGCTTTGGGCCGAACACTTTTCAAGGCAGTTTAGACAATCTGAGTTATCACTTTCTTTTCCAGACATTGAATACCTTTCTCCATGGGCAGTCTCCTTAGATCCGCCCTCACGCGCAAAAGTCGAACGTGAGATCAGATTGTTGAAATTGCTTAAGACCCCAGGGGCAGGTAGAATTTCCCCAATTATATTCAGATTCGAGGGACCTGCTCTTGTAGACAAGGTACTCGTGTTGTAGTGGAACGTTGGGAGGAAGGAACTGTCCCGACAGAGTGGAGCAGCTCCGTGATAGTCCCGATTTTCAGGGGAGGCTCCTGTTCGGAATGCGGCAATTATCAAGAGATCGGTCTGATCACAATTGCCTCTAAATTGACTGTGTCCGTTGTTCTCCACAGACTAACTGGCGCTTTTGAAAGCCAGATCCGCGAGGAGCAAGCCGGGTTTTATCGACGTCGCGGCTGCATCGACCACAACTTCACTTTGTGTCAATTGTTGGAGCATCGCCATGTTTATTGTAGACCCACCGTAGTCGTGTTTCTCGACATCAAAGGTGCTTTCGACTCGGTTGATGGATGTGCGCTTTGGGACTGTCTGCTGAGGAAAGGTATGCCTGCTAAATACGTACAATACGTAGAGCGGTGCGCGCATCGTTCGGACAGAGTGAGAGCCTATGGCAAACTGTCGCCGCCCTTTTATATCTCCAACGGGGTGGGACAAGGTTGCCCGCTGTCACCTTTCATATTTAACTTCGCTATTGACGAAACCATGGTAACAATGTTCGATGGACACGACCAACAAGGCATGGAGCTACTTCCTCGTGAGCGACTTTTTGATTGGAGTATGCAGACGGCATTGCCTACTCTGACAGCTCTCAGACGTGCCAAACAGCACTGGATCGATTGGCGCTGGGTGGGTTATGCTTTGCTCCATCGAAATGCGATGCACTTCTCCAAAATTGGCAGACCCATCCCTGCGCTGAGCCTTAGTGGTAATCAGGAATTCAGGAATTCAAGTACCTGGGCAGCTATAGTAGCGCTCGTGGGTTCGAACATGATATTACGAACCGTACAGCAAGACCTCGATGTGCTTTTGCCAATCTCCTCCACCTGTGGCGCAGACACTACATCACTCTCGCTCTGAAGGGCAGAGTTTATAATGCAGCCGTCCTTTCAACTCTCTTATACGGTTGTGAAACCTGACCCATCAGCTCGAGAGACAAAGAGGCTAATCACGTTCGACCATCGCTACCTTCGCAGCTTAGCTCATGTCTGGTGGTAGTACTGCGTGAGCAGTAAGCGAGTTTGGCGCCGCGTGTTTAGTGCAGGAAGAGCTAGTGAACCGCTCAGCACCATTGTATCACGCACCAGGCTCCGATAGCCGGACCACGTGTTGCGTATGCCAGCATACCGACTCCCGCGACGTGCATTATTTGAGTGCCGGGGTGCGGTTGGAAGAGAAGGGAAGGCCAAGTGATTACTTGGTCTAGATAAGGGAAAGCCCACACTTGGTAATTGCCGTAGGTTGGTGCATCCCGACTGCCTGGCTGGGGTCCCAAGGACCATGAACACGTTTGATTGGACCCATTTGCTGATATGGCCAAGAGCTGGCCCCAGTGGCGTTTGTGTAGTGCTTTTCTTTGTCCATCGCCCTCCGTTTTAGATTCCATTTTAATCGATCTACGAATGACATACTATAATATTTAGTGTTAAATCACCTGCTTTTGAATTTTTATAGTGCAACCTTTTTGTATCTTACGTTTTTGTATTGCGGCACATCAGCTGGGGTGTGTTTCGCACGTTCAACTAACGTGTATTGATGGTGGTGCCGTCGTGTGAATACGGCGGCAGCCTAAGAATTTACAGAACCCATCGAATTGTGAAGAATCGAAACTCGTCTTACGGTCCGTTGTGATGGTGGATGGGCATCCGTAGTGGGACACCCACCGGTCCAAGAAAGCACGGATGACAGTTTCGCCCTAGCAGTCTGGTACAAGGATGGCTTCTGGCAATCTAGTGAAGCGGTCGGTACATGTCAGTATGTATACGCATACGCGAGGAGGTAAGGGTCCTACCAAGTCTGTGTATGTGTGAGAACCGCGAATCCGGAGCAGGGAATGAGCCCAATGGACTGCGGATGTCTCGGAGTACCTTGGGCACTGGCTGTGAAGACAAGGTCAAGCCTAGTTACGGACATCTTTGTTCACGTTTGGCCAAACAAAACGCTCGATGACCAATTTCAACGATGTGCGAATACCCGGGTGAGCCAGTGAGTGGAGGGCGTCGACGACTGTGCGTCTGAAAGAGGCGGACACGACGGGTCTAGGACGAACTGTGGATGTATCACATAAGATAGTTCCGTCCGTGGTTTGGAGAAGAACGGGTTGCACAAGTAGCGAAGTGTACTGCAGGATGCGTTGGTGGTCTTCGTCTTGGGCCTCATGCGATGCCATGGCGGCAAGATCGATATTAGGCAAATAGTGAAGAGTGAGATTAACGCGAGAGAGCGCCAGTTACGGGGTTGGCAACACCTGAGATATAACGTATGTCGGCAGTGAATTGTGTGACAAAGTCCAGGTGTCTGGCTTCTCGTGGCGGATATTTGTCAGATCCTAAGTTATAGACGAAAATGAGAGGCTTGTGATCAGTGTTGACCGTGAAAGCTCGACCTTCTTATATTTGTCGGAGGTGATAAATAGCTAAGTAGCTGACAAGCAGTTCTCTATCAAACGTGCTGTAGCGAGACTTTGCTGGTTACAGGCGTTTCGAGCAGAAACGGAGTAGTTGCCACTGCCCACCGCCGTGTTGTTGAAGAACAACTACCGCAGCGTCTGAAGCGGATTTGTGCACCGATATTTACATCGGGCATAATATGCGGGCGGACACACGGCCGTGTGCTGAACATTCCGTTTGAAAGCATTGAGGTGCAGTGACACACCATTGCTGTCTCTGGAACTTTCTCACTTCCTGAAGCACACTTCAGCATGTTCACCTTAATATTTTTCGACAGCCATCTCCGTTAGCTAGTTTCAGTTCACTCTGGATGTGTGCTGATCACTCCCTTTCTCGATCACGTGCGGTTCCCTTAAAAGGCAACAGAAGTACGCTGCTACGCAGTACTGACGCTTCGCTGCTGCGCAAACATCGCGTACTCTACGCAGACTGGACCCACGACCTCCGCATTACAAGACAGGCTTGTGATTCTTCAGGTCACAAGCCGGCGATTCCTTTTCGTGATACTACTTTGGCAACTGATGCTTGTGCTTTTTGAATCCTGGACTTTTTGTTCGGCTTACCAACGTGTGGCATATGAGTCACCAACCACTGACGACTGATAGTGAGTTTCAGTTTAGCTTACCCTCTTCTATACCCGGAATCATATATTGTCTTATCATGCTGCTAACAACTCCCTTGTTGAGCTCTTTCGTTGGCAGCTATAAACCGCTTTTTTAAGGTAAGACTTGCTACACATTTGTATGAGTAGCTCCCAGCCAATCTCCTTCGTATCCAAAACGCCGCCAACCAAAATGTTGGATGCTGCCTACTTCAATCATCTTTCGTTTGTCCTTCAGACTGCAAAGTGAAGTGACACTAAGTTCTAACGTCGCTGGTGGGTTATATCCGATGTCTTAAGTCAAGCATTTCAAGCAGTAATTTTAGGTCATTTGATATATTCTTCACTAATAGCGAATCCATCTGTATTTACTCTCATAAATCTAGTGCACTCAATCAGCAAACGATCTAAAACTCACACATTTAGGTAGCGTTGTTGCCTTTTACTCCAAACTGACGGAATTTGTTCATTACTTCATTTCATCGGGTTTTCCCCTTTGTACAAGCACTGGGGCGGAATTCTCTTTCTGTTTGGTATTGGCGCGTAATGTAGTCAAATGCATACTTGGGCCTCATGCGATGCCATGGCGGCAAGATCGATATTAGGCAAATAGTGGAGTGAGATTAACGCGAGAGAACGCCAGCTACGGGGTTGGTAACACCTGAGATATAACGTATGTCAGCAGTGAATTGTGTGACAAAGTCCAGATGTCTGACTTCTCGTGGCGGATATTTGTCAGATCCTGAGTTATAAACGAAAATGAGAGGCTTGTGATCAGTGTAGACCGTGAAAGCTCGACTTTTATGTTCTTTCAGTCACCTAACCTATTGTGCTGACTATGGGTTGTAGCTACACTTGCTATCTGAATAACTTTTAGGTTTTTATGTCTGCAGCGTGATGAGAAAGATGTCAATGTAAATAAAGTGAAACCAGCTGATTGTTAGAAAGGGTAAGTTTAGTCGAGGAGCATTTTGGATTGAAATGAGACTTGGGGGGGTATCCAAATGTTTACCGTAAGATCGCCTGATTTAGTGGTACTGTTTACGCATCTGCCTACATGGCATCAATATGTATCAAAGACTTTCTTCTCTTGGCACTTTTAGTCTTTGAAAGATGGTGCTTTTCAATGTACTTTAAAGATCAGAACACGGAGCAACTGCTGGAATTTGTGCGGAGATCCAACACATCGTTCGTAGACCAGGAGTTTCCAGCGGATCTATCCAGTCTTTCCCCTAAATCTGATGCAGTTAGAAATTTGCCAATTGCGTGGCAGCGGCCCACCGAGTTATCGGCTCATCCCTCCCTTTACACCATATTGAGGCCATCAGCTATTCGTCAAGGCCGCTTGGGCAATTGTTGGTTCGTTGCTGCATGTGCATGCCTCGTTCAACATGAAAGCGCATGGCGAAAGGTGAAGAACCGGTTTTCCTCATCATTATTTTTGCAGGTCGTTGCACTTCCTCGGCTTCAGACATGGTCTAAATACCATGGCCTCTTCGTTTTTCGATTCTGGCGGTTTGGGGTCTGGGTGACCGTTGTTGTTGACGATCTCCTACCGACACTGAACGGAGAGCTTCTGTATTGTCATTCCTCTGATCCGAACGAGTATTGGTGTGCACTGCTGGAGAAGGCATATGCAAAGTAGTTTCCATAAGCCGTTGACGGTTTCATCTGGTTTAAAATTTCGGCAGTACTTGCTGTCTTTGCTGTTATTCCAGGTTATTAGGCAGTTATGAGGCATTAGAAGGCGGCGAATTAGCCGATGCCCTGATCGACTTTACAGGTGGATACACTGAATGTCTCGATTTTGGGTTGCGGCCGTTACCAACCTTCAAAACTCCCGGACCGCTACCGGCTTACGGAACGTTCGATAACATCTTGGTGCCCCCGCAATCATTGAATTGCTCCTTTCTCTCACCTTGGAAAGATTCTATGCTATGCGATTCCGCGTACAAATTGCTTTATCGTTACCACATCGCCGGGAGTATGATCGCGGCTGCAATATCAGTGAGCCATTTTGGACTTCACTTGATTTCGACTTCCAGTACTGTTTTGTTGATCGGTGTCTCAAAACTATTTACCTCATTATGTTTTGCTACATTAATTTCCTTGTTACCAAAGGACACCTGCTTTTGTGTTTCGGTCGAAGTCCGTATTAATGCTGATACAGGTTACAAGATTCTGTTCAATTATCTTTTTAGGTATCTCACTGAAAGTCCCCCGTTGTTTTGTGCTCAAACCCATTTCCTGCGGCTGGTTGCGAATGCACTCTTAGAGGGGACTTAATACAGAATATATTTTGCAGAGCTTCGTCGCATTTAGCTTCTTGCAGACAACCACTGCACATCCAATAAAGTTCTTATTAAGGTGAGATTATATCTGACTGAACTGTATGCGTGCTTCGGAGCTTTTGTGGGTTGTAATTGTGCACAGGAAAACGGAGTGAAATCTGTTGCTGAAAAAGTAAGTGCGCTCTTGACTACACTAGTCACACACATGCATCAGTACAGCACGTCTGGCTTCCGTGTCTCTGTTGTACGCAAACGTCCTTGTCGCTTATAGCTGTAACAACTGACAATACTTTGGTTTTCGCTGTCCTATATTAGCAAACATGTCTTCACCCGTGACTTTCTGTGATAGTTGTGTGGTTCTCTCTTTTGTCCTGTTTTGTGTTCTTTTTGCCAGTATATCTTGTTCAGCGGCGTTCGATTCGGTGCATTCCAGGCCCATACCCTAGGAAGTCGTTCTGTTCTTACAACAGGAGACTTAACAGCACTAGATGGGCCATTTCTTCTCACGGGGGTTCGTCGATACACACTTCTGTCTTGCTGTACACTTACCCATGGCTTTCGTTTTACGACTCAGCTACTTAATCCATTGAACCTCGACCTTCTCCAAAATTACCGCTACGCTCAATTGTTGTCCCTTTCACACATGGCAACTGTTCCGCCTCCTCAGCAGTTCAACCCGGCACTGATACCGCGTACCGCTTACCAGATGGATGACATTGCTTCATTCTCATGTCTATACGGGGTTGACCCAGACTTCCAATGCCCGCTTCGCTTGACTGCCACAACTATCAGCGTTCTACTTACAGTGGACTTCGAGACATTGGCACCTCCTGGGTGCCTCGAGTTAACGTTGCGTTAGTAATCAGAGTTTCACTTTTGTATAGCTGTTTCTACTGGAATCAATTTACTTGTACAGCCTTACAGGCGATCATTTTGTCAAGACGTTGCGATAAGCGCCTTATTTTAGCGGCAACGAAGCTTATCTGTTAAGAACTGCAGCCATGAGCACATCTTGTTTCAACTACCCTTCAGGCTGGGATGACGGCACCAGCGTCTTTACATTTGGCATCCCCCATGCTCAGCACTAAACACACACGAACAATGTCCCTCTGATCTTCATTGCGGCTCTCTCTGGTTCACTCTGGACTCGATCAGCACTCGGGCATGACGGAGTGAGCTAATGGATTCGAATTACTTCGCTGCTATCTCCGTTCACTGTTCGGACTCATGTTGCATTGAATAGACATCACTTACACGCCACTGATTACATTTTCCTTATTGCTCCTTGGCTATTGGTGATATATCATTCTTGGTTTGAAATAACTGTACCAAATTCACTTAACGGTACTATTCACACAGAGTGTCTGGCGTGATTTTAACGCCACCTACTGTCCAAAAGAAGAAAAGTCGCGAGATGTTATGATCACCGATATCGATTAATTTATCCACCTTGACAACCTTAACTGTACGTCTGGGTGTCCTTTGCACAGTGCCATTACAACGTCTTTTACTTTGCTAGTGTGAATCCGTATCCAAATCCAGTTACTGATCTATTCAGAGAATTTTCTTTTTGTCAAATATGACTATAACTGTCTCAGCGTCCTGTACACGGCTCAACGTATCTGGCCACTAAAAAAACGATCTTCTGATGTGTGCCTTCTGTCTTATCTTTTGTGTAATTAGCTAGCAATATTCAATTCAAGTTTCTCCGGTCCCATAGTATCAGGATGCCAGAACGTTCCGAATATGAGATGTTTGGTCTTTGGACTAGGTCTCACGTTGATCACCGTTTCTCATTCTTCACATTTATGGTGCGGTAGGTGATGTACAACATAATGAAGCTAGACTTGACTCATAGTCAGTGTTGTTTCTATGATGTGCGTGAATTTATGCTCTTTGCTGCACAAGTTAGTTGCCCACCCTCGTGACCCGAAGTTCAATTTATCTGCATTGGTATGTGACTAAAAAGTTTTACTGCACGTTTTACCGCAATTCGCCGTCAAAAGCATATGCTTCCCATTTCCTTCATTATACTTTTAGCCCCAAAGTCTTCTTGAACAAGAACGAGAGACCCGTCTAGGGTTGGTTGTCGGTCACGCGTACGCCGTCATTCGGTTATGCACTGTTCAGATCACTGACGTCCCTTCACTTTCACCATCTTTGGAGAGACGCCACCTTCTTCTTGTTTGCTTGGCGAACCCGTGGGGGCATGAGACCTGGAGCGGAGCCTTTTCGCGAGATTCAAAAGTGAGTTTTCACGCACCCCCGTGTGTGTATAAGTGCAGTTGCTCGTATTACTTTCATCCCAGGCTCTGGCCGAACGATGTCCTCGTGATGCCAGCTGGATGGTGCGGGTTTACTCTATTCTAGCAATTAGTTCGGCGGCAGTGTTCCATGACTTGATGGGTCTTCGCCTGGAAACTATTCTCTCTATAAAAAGCCACATATATCTGTCTAACAACGTTGCGGTGTGGGGGATATGACCCACCACTAGAAAAGTAACTGCCTCTTGCTTTACCCCGATGGAGCATTGTATGTTACCAATACTGTGCTGAAAATATGGGGGTATTAGGCCCCTGTTTGGTGGCTTACCAAACGAAAGGCGTATGAACCGATAAATCGGTCACCGGCTCTTAACGGGCGCGAGTCCCTCATATCGCCTCACTGCCTTGTGTGTTAGGTCCTTTGGCCGCAGACTGCTGGTGGCGGTTCCCCAAGAAAACCCCCTACTTCGGCGTATGCAACCGAGCAGTATTTCACCTACTAAAGAACTGCATTGAACTACACTCGCTCTGCTAGTGGATTGCTCTTCTGCTACTGCTACTATTACTTTACAATCACACGCCATCTACTTATCTACCATTCCTCTGTATCATCCCCTCCCGCTTTCCTCTCACCCCTCATCGCTGAACGACATCGCGCGCTCTGACGAAACTGCTGCTTTACCAACCAGATACCTACAAACCGGTATAAGACAATTCCATGCTCCCCCTCTCCGCTTCTTCAACCCAAAACACAATTCAAGTTGGAGCATTCAATGTGCGTACCCTAATGTAGATAGCACAACAAGCCGGTCTCGCACGCACCTTGGAATCTGTTACAATAGATATATGCTGCTTGTCTGAAATCGGACGTCAGGACCTCAACACGATCTACCAACTGTCTTCACCCATTCGCCCATACACCCGTTTCCTTCTTTACCTTTGCGGTGATGCCTAGTCCACTGCAGCTGGGCAAGCTGGTGTTGAAGTTGCCCTGAGTTTCAGAATCGAAGCCACCTTTCTTGGGTGGATCCCCATAAGCAGTTGCCTCTGCGCTATGCGGCTCCAAGGCTCGTCCAAGTGTCCATGAGTAAAACGCGCTCTTTTTGTTGTCTTCGCCTATGCGTCCACTGATTGTAGCCCGAATACAGTCAAAACCTATTCTATCAGAACATTACCTGCTTCTAAGGCCCCCGAAACGGACATCATTGTTATGGCGTGGGATTTCCACGCGCTTGTTGGCTGTTTACTGCCAAGCGAACGCTACTTCTGTGGTAGGTATAGATACAATAACCTTCGCTCGGATAAAGGAGAAAGACTGCTCAGCCTATGCTCCGCCCACCAACTTTACCTATCCAACCTGAACTTTGGCCACCCGAGACACCACGACGCTACCTGGCGTGCTACATGTCGTGTATCGCCCTCCGAGAATCAAAGGCAAAAACTGGGCGGTGATCATAATCTATTTGGATCATAAGGCAACTTATTATTTATATGGTAACCAGCGCTCCGCTCTATGACCCCGACTTGCTCTTCTCTTATTGCTTGCGTCTGACAGAAACCTACCGTATTCATCAATCAAGGCATTGGTCGCAGATTGACCCCATCGCCTTAAGTCGTCGCTGATGCAGCAGTCTTCGAGACTGCAGATCTTATTTGTCAACTTGCATCGAATTTGATTATGCGCTAGTACGTGCGACGGTATACATGCGCTTTGGTGGCTCGCCTAAGATCAGACAAACTCGTCTGAACATTGGTAACTTGTAAGGATCCGCTGCTCAAGTGGAATATCAACGCCTGCTTCTTGACAGTCTCACTTGTTTCCCTCCACTGGACGTTGACCAGTATTTGCCACGTTTACAACAGGTCATGCTTTCTGCGGGTCTCTATACCTGTGGTCTTGCTCGCTCAAGAGCTAAAAGTTGGGCCTCATTGATATCTTGGGAAATACTTGACCGTCGACGGTCTATTTCCGTCATTGTGGAACGCATTGAACTCAATGAACGATTTCACAACAATTAAAAGCAAGTCTGCGCCGCACTCGTGAATCCTGGTGGTCCAATCAAGCCACTTAACTGGAAGCTGCTGCCACTACTGGAAACACACGCAGCTTATTTTATCTCACCATCCCGCTTGCCATCCTGTTTATGGCCCGTGTGCACAGATCCACCGAAGCTGTGATTCGGAGAGAAATCTACACTTTGAAATGATTCAAAGTCCCAGACCCTGACAGCCTTCTTCTTCCGGTCCTCTTCAAAAATGGATAGCATATGGTTATTAGCGAACTGCTCTCGCTTTTCACGATGAGAAGATTCCCAACTCTTAGGGCGAGTCTATCGTGGTGCCGCAGCGATGGCACCAACTAACGAGGAATACCACTTATAGGTCGCGCCTAAAACTTTTGTGTCCATATTGTTCCGCAGTCTTTCGGCTGCTCGAGAGACTTTGTCTCGCGAAGAACAAGCGGGTTTTCGCAGCAGTCGATGTTGCATCAACCAGATCATCACGCTGCGTCAAATTCTTGAACATCGTCACAGCCACCGAAGATCAACAATAGGGGTGTTTTTGGGTATTCGTACCTTTGACTCCATAGATAGAACATATCTTTAGAACTGTCCACTAGGAAGCGGTGTGTCCGACAAATTTGTCGCAATCCTGTAAGAAATCTATCGTCACACATCGGTCCAAGTTATAACTTTTGGAAGGCTTTCTTCGCCTTTTGCTTTTACCAGCGAAGTACGCCAAGGTTG